TTCAACATGTTATCATTGATGATAAATTGACGACACATTCTGATGCGCCCGGTGTGTAAATTCTTGGATTACAAATTTGTGTACCATTTGCATTATTATAATATTTGTGGTATTTGTGTACTATTTAAATTTTAAATTTTTATCCTCTCGTTATGAAAATTTTGGCACTAATGGTGGAAACATTTAAAAAGTTGTTGTCTCTTTTCATTCTTTCCGCCAGTTTTTTTAGATAGGTAGGAAATTTTTTAAATTGAAAAATGGTTATTTTTAATTTTAGTGGATGAATTTTTTTATAAATATTTTTAAAAGATATATTTTTTCACTAATAATTTTAATTTTGTGCACCTACCCCTTCTTCCAAAAATATTTTCTTGTCCATCCAATCTTACGTATGCGTACTATTTTCTTGTGAAGTGTGGGCCCCATCAGAAATGAACCAACCCGATCAAAACATATCAATTTTGACTTGAATTTACCATAATTTCCTTCACCAAAAAACAATCCAGCCCTATGAAATTTTTATTTTGGGCCCTATGGTAATTTCAAAAATTATTCCTGTCAGCACAGAAGATCCCACCGAGTTATCCCAAATAGCACATGGGTTACGAGAATCCGGTTCAGAAGGGAAAACATCAAACATGTACTATTCACTACGGCCGATCAATTCAATCACAACTTTTATCCCATCAAAATTTTCAACCAAATAAGAGATAAATGGGTCCCCCGATATTTTTATCCATTTCGACCTGGGAATCCCTGCTGTCCGAGTTGTCAAAATTTGATACGACAAGGTTTGTCGACACAATCAATACGAATTAAACGGATTTGAATGAGATGTTAACGGATTTGAGTGATAAACAGATTTACACACCAAACACGTTTAATAAACGGATCATATTCGGGTGAGACCTGTTAAACTGTTTGTCACATGTTTAAATAAAATTAATATAATAATAAATTAATAATTATTTTTAAAAATTAAAAAGTAAAAAATAAGTAAAGAAATTAATAAAAAAAAAGAGTAAAGTAGTAGTTCAAAGACAAAACAGAGGAGATAGAGAGCACTTCAAAGACAAAGGCAAACCAATGTCTTATGTTTTTGTCTCACATTGGAAAATGTGGGGAGACGGAGAGGGTTGAATTGCCTATAAAAAGCATTGACCTCTTGCTTTTTTTTTTAAAGCTTTCAAGTCTTATTTTTATGAGATTTTGCTAAAAATTCCTCTTTTTTGAGGTTAGTGCAATTGACACTAAAAAAAAATGGAGTATTAAAATTTATTGAAATAATTTTTTTAAAATGAAACAGGTTAAACGAGTTGTGTCGTATTACTCGTTTATTAAACGGTTTGTGTTCATGTTGAGAGTTTTTATCCGTTTATTATAAGTGTCGTTTACGAGTTTATATATTTTTTATCCGTCACCTGTTTAACTCGACAATTAATCATTTAATTCGATACATNTCTTTTTTTTTTTTTTTTTAACTTACCACTTAAATAACTGGAGTGGATCCTTCGTTTATTTCTGAGTTTTCAGTGATATCATGGGATTGTATTCAGTGGGTCCTTCAACATGTTATCATTGATGATAAATTGACGACACATTCTGATGCGCCCGGTGTGTAAATTCTTGGATTACAAATTTGTGTACCATTTGCATTATTATAATATTTGTGGTATTTGTGTACTATTTAAATTTTAAATTTTTATCCTCTCGTTATGAAAATTTTGGCACTAATGGTGGAAACATTTAAAAAGTTGTTGTCTCTTTTCATTCTTTCCGCCAGTTTTTTTAGATAGGTAGGAAATTTTTTAAATTGAAAAATGGTTATTTTTAATTTTAGTGGATGAATTTTTTTATAAATATTTTTAAAAGATATATTTTTTCACTAATAATTTTAATTTTGTGCACCTACCCCTTCTTCCAAAAATATTTTCTTGTCCATCCAATCTTACGTATGCGTACTATTTTCTTGTGAAGTGTGGGCCCCATCAGAAATGAACCAACCCGATCAAAACATATCAATTTTGACTTGAATTTACCATAATTTCCTTCACCAAAAAACAATCCAGCCCTATGAAATTTTTATTTTGGGCCCTATGGTAATTTCAAAAATTATTCCTGTCAGCACAGAAGATCCCACCGAGTTATCCCAAATAGCACATGGGTTACGAGAATCCGGTTCAGAAGGGAAAACATCAAACATGTACTATTCACTACGGCCGATCAATTCAATCACAACTTTTATCCCATCAAAATTTTCAACCAAATAAGAGATAAATGGGTCCCCCGATATTTTTATCCATTTCGACCTGGGAATCCCTGCTGTCCGAGTTGTCAAAATTTGATACGACAAGGTTTGTCGACACAATCAATACGAATTAAACGGATTTGAATGAGATGTTAACGGATTTGAGTGATAAACAGATTTACACACCAAACACGTTTAATAAACGGATCATATTCGGGTGAGACCTGTTAAACTGTTTGTCACATGTTTAAATAAAATTAATATAATAATAAATTAATAATTATTTTTAAAAATTAAAAAGTAAAAAATAAGTAAAGAAATTAATAAAAAAAAAGAGTAAAGTAGTAGTTCAAAGACAAAACAGAGGAGATAGAGAGCACTTCAAAGACAAAGGCAAACCAATGTCTTATGTTTTTGTCTCACATTGGAAAATGTGGGGAGACGGAGAGGGTTGAATTGCCTATAAAAAGCATTGACCTCTTGCTTTTTTTTTTAAAGCTTTCAAGTCTTATTTTTATGAGATTTTGCTAAAAATTCCTCTTTTTTGAGGTTAGTGCAATTGACACTAAAAAAAAATGGAGTATTAAAATTTATTGAAATAATTTTTTTAAAATGAAACAGGTTAAACGAGTTGTGTCGTATTACTCGTTTATTAAACGGTTTGTGTTCATGTTGAGAGTTTTTATCCGTTTATTATAAGTGTCGTTTACGAGTTTATATATTTTTTATCCGTCACCTGTTTAACTCGACAATTAATCATTTAATTCGATACATTTGACACCCGTACTGTACGGTGAAACACCCCCTTAGTCTTGGGGGGTTGAGGCGAGGATGGACTTGTTGAGAGATCAAATTTAGTCTAATTTTAGTTATAAAATCTTTAATTCTAATTTTAATTCGACCTCAATTCGAGGCATTCAACCCAAATATTGTTCAAGATGAATTTGGACGGGCTCGAGTTAAATTCAGGTTATCTAATTCGGGCTTATTTCAAGTTTGAATTTGGGTTGGAATTGTTCAGTCTTGAAATCAACTTGTTGTTCTAAATTTGATATATACTACATAATATTCACCTAAAGTAACAACAAGTAACATCAATTAAATGTTTAACATAAATATCATAGTATTTAACGCATAAAAAAACATGCTGGACAAAATCAATTTACAGTTTCTTAATATAAAGATATAGTGGTCAAATTAACATAATAGCCATAATAGCTAAATTAACATAAAAAAGCATACTTAAATCAATATTTAACCATAATATTCAGGTTGAGTCCGATTTAATATTCTAGTTGAACCCGATAACCTGAGACTTCAACACGGGTACCAAAATTCAAATCGGATTAATATTTTTCTACTCATGTTCAACTCAAGTATTAAAAACTTTTCGAGTTAAATTCGAATTGGTTTGCTCAAGTTACACCCATACACCCCCAAAGAGAACCGATAAAGGTCGATGGAATCATACCATGTGACATTTTCCATTCCGATGTCATTCCACATTTTGCTGTCACCAAATTGTCTATTGTCCCATGACTCCACGATATGGTCGAAGCACTCATCTTGTTCAACTTCTTTTTGTATATATTGCTCAATACCGTCCAATAACTTTAAGACCGATGCGATTCAATCTTTTAAGTTGGTGACTGATATGATAATCTTGAACGGTCTTGTTTACGACCTGAACCCGCTAAGACTCAATCTAACCCTCCACGAGTTATGTGTTAATTTTGTGTCGGGTTCACAGATGGTGTCTAAAATTGTCCACGTCCCATAAAGTAATACTGCATAGACTTAAAAATTAAACTTGACAATTTCAACCATTGATTTCACTGTAAGTCAAAAAATTTATTATGACTCATTACATATTCAATGATTGAAATTATTAAGTCTAATTTTTAAGTTCATTTAACATTACTCAAGTATCAGTAACTCCTCGGGGTACAAGGAACGTAGTGCCAGAGGTTTGAAGCTAGCAACTACGAAATGTGTCTCCAAAATTTGTTGAAACCAATGAACATTCAGAGAATTTGTCCTACTGAAGATATTGGCAAGAATAGGGCCCTAAAAAAGGGGAAAAAGAAATCATCTACAAAAATTATATTACTATGACTACCAGATTGTCCGGTTGGAGTTCTAAGCAATAAGAAAGAGAAAAAGAAACAAATCTTCAGGTTCGACAACATTGTATTCAAAGGAGCTGCGAGTTTATTACTAGAATTGCCAAGAACAATCATTCCACAGTCTGCACATGGCAAAGGAAAGCTCCATCAAAAATGAATCTCCCGTGCCTCTTTACCTGATACATGTTTACTTTCTGGTGTATAAGAATCAATTTTCCCTATCAAAAACTCGAAAACCAAAAGAGGAAAAGTATAACAAGAAAAACTTGTAACAAGGCCAAAATTTTCTACTTTCGACTCTGCAAGGGTGCCAATAAAATAGGATGCAATGAGAAGTTGCGCAAATCAACTAGTTACACAACCTTGGAGATATGGGTGAGTCTGATTCACATACCATTCCTATACCTGCCAATTCCCAACTTCAGCCATGGTTTCATGTTCCCATTGAACTGAATTACAGCTGCACTCTCTATCAGGCGGTTGTTAATAGAGTAATGCTATACTAATTAAATTTTGGGACTAAATTTAGAATTCAAATGATATGACAATATATTATTTAAAATTTTTATTTGAGTTCTAAATTTAATCTCAAAATTTGGTCATTATAACATTACTGTTATTGATATTCAGATATTCAGGTGATAACCCAATCCCAAGACATGCCATCTCCTATCGAGTGGCTCTGTCAATCCATAAAAAGCTAATAAGCCCATCCTATCAGTATTCTGCTCCTGCCAGTAATGATACTTTGCAGTCACATTTGCTTTTCTCCATGCAATCAAATCAAAAACATTCATACCAAATGCCCACCCACAAGTCTGAGGATCAAACTTGGAGCTAATGATTGGATTTGAGAAATTAATATATTTGTAATAACGATGAAATGCTTCAAGACANTTGAGGATCAACCTTGGAGCTAATGATTGGATTTGAGAAATTAATATATTTGTAATAACGATGAAATGCTTCAAGGCAGGTTTCCACTGCTCCATTTACATTTCCATGCAACTCCACTGAAAACAGATGGATCAGATCCTTCTGGACAACGACAACGTCGTCAAGAAAAATCACCTTTTCCAATTAAGGATAGATCTCTGGCATTTAAAAGCGAAGGCGATCCAACAAAGACAAATACTTTGGATTCCTAAACTTTGGATCAATATTCACGTCCTGTGAACCTTCAAAGTAGTGAGCCCATGAATTTGCGTCTAGTAGCTGTCTAACAACAGGAGAGTAAGAAGCATTTAACCAACCAAAGTTCTCAATGTTCTGCACTTCTATCATAGACCCTTTGAAGTCATTACTAAGAAACCAAGCCTGCATTGCCCCATAGTTCACACCGTTTGTAACAATGTGGAAAACAAGCTGCTTTGGATGCTCAGCATTTGAGATAGTCGAGTTGACAACAACGGAAACAGCCAGCAGGTTATCTGAAAATATGCAAAAGTGGTAGAGATTGTTATCCACTAATCGGGGTGAGGTCCTCTGCTCATCTGCAAGCTCTTGTATTGACTTCTTCTTGAGCCAATAAGCCATTAGTTTAAAGGTTATGCAGTGTAGATTCTTGGGTAGTGCTTCTGCAGCCAATTGCCCAAAAACGGTATTTTGGACAGTTGCTGTACTCGCACGCTGTTCAAGGGCTTGAATGTGGGATTTCATCGTCATGATTGTGGTTGCTATATCATAATGGGCATAGTGTGCCTTGAAAATCAGAAATGATAGGCTTTTTATGACTGGCTTTGCTTCATCTAGTGTGATGGGCTCCTCCCTCATGGCAGCTTTTGAAAGTAAAAATTGGCAAGTTCTTATCTTTGAACTTGAGCTCCCAGACAAGATGGAGGTTATTATGCTCTTCTGCAATAATGACATGGGCTTTGGCAAGTGTCATTTGTTCCGCTAATTGCCTAGCATATGAACTAGCACTTAATATGTCTTCAGTTAAATTGAAATGCTCAAGCTTGACCTGTTCATGTCTGGCATCTCTCTCCTGGGAAAAGGGACAAAAACACGCACCAGATAAGTTCTCAAAAATTAACTGAAAAAAGCAGTAGCATATCATCAAAACTTATTAGGTCAAAAGTAAATTATTTATATGAAGCAACTAACATCTACTGTCTTAGTAAAGGGCATGCAGAAATTTGTTGGAGTTATAGTAACTTAGTTTATTAGGATTCTTTTTCTCTTTTTTACCCTTATTAAGACTTTTGTATTTTTCTTAGACCGCAAGGATGTTTAGGTCACTTTGTAATATTATTTGACTATATATACGGGACTTTACTCTTAGTTTATGGATCCTTTTTCACTCACATCTATTTCAAGTTAGTATCAAAGCAATCAATCCTAACCCTAAGCAATCAATCCTAACCCTAACCATAGCCTCCACCAAACATCGCAACCAGCGACTCCACTGATTGCCTCCACTCCACCGACCGCCTCTACTTTTACTCTATTAAACTCCATTAAACCAGCAACTACATTTTGACCAAGCAACTCCACCGACCAGCATACTCCACCAATGCAGACAGCATACCAGTCAACCCATCGTTAACCTGCCCATCTTTTTCAGCCCACCCACCGAAAAAACCCAGCCAAACCCCACCAAAAAAAACCTTACCATCGGAAAGAAAAAAAAAACCCAGCCAACATATACCAACAAACCCAGCCCACTGCCCCACCGAAAAAAAAAAAAAAAAAAACCGCCCACAGTCCAACCTAAAACCTAGCCCAACCATCCCCCAGCTCATAACACTGTTCCGCCTTTGACCAACCCAGTGCCCAGGCAACATCTAGCTCGTGCTCAGGCCGTCCCAGTGTCAGTCTGTCACGCCTTTGTGCTTCACGTTCTTTGTGATAATGTCATCATCTTTTCACGCTACTGATTTCTTTTTTCTAGGAGTGCAGCATCTAGGACCTTTTTAAGAGGGGTCAGATCCTCTTCTCTGTTGATCTACTTTTGATGCAGTAGATCACTTATATATTTACTGGATTTCTGGGCACTGTGACCTAATTATTTGGGAGTTTTCTGTCTTTATCTATCGTTGTGGTTCGACTGGAAATATATTGTTCTCCCTTATTTTATCCCTCTATTATCTTAGAGTTATTTTTTTGTCACGGGTGCTCTAATATTATTGATGATATGACTACTACTGAGAGACTTGAGACCCCTACTATTGACACCTCTACCATTGAGACATTTATTAGTATTTCCACTTTTATGTTTGATCAGTATACAATACTTACTGGCACAGTTGCATTCCCATCACTGCCGGGCATGATCTCTTAAAAAGTTATGACACAGTTATTAAATGACCGTAACTTTGCTGAGTGGTCTCGCTCATTCCAGCTATTCTTAGGCCGTGTAGGGAAGCTTTGTTGGCTGACAGAATTTCATCCAAAGCCAGCTGATGACGACTGTGGATATTCTGTGTGGTTTTCTAAGAACTGCGCCATTCTTGGATGGTTATTTGACTCGATGAAGCCATCTATTTGCAGGATTCACCAGTTTCATAGCTCTATTCCGAAGTTATGGAGTGCATTATCACAGATGTATTCTCAGTCACGATGGGGAGTTCATGTTTTTGAGCTTTCTCAGGATGTCTCATATGCTCGATAAGGAAATATGACCATTCAGGATTATTATGGTTATTTGACCCAGCGCTGGCTTGAGTATGAGACTCTATGTCCTCTTGCTTCTATTTCGAGGATAAACATACTCGAGAGTAAGATGATACGATTCACAAGTTCCTTATAGGACTTCGTGATGAGTTTGAGGGGCCTCGTTCCCAAATCTTGTCTATGTTGAGGCTTGCTTCTCTTTATGAGGTGTATGCGCTGATTAAGCAGCATGAGCGTTGCGTCCGTATTGCATTATTTCTAGTTGCGGCGTTGACTCCTTTGGCTGACCAAATGGCCCTTGCAGCTGCTGTAGGGACTCGTTCAAGATCCTCAGTCAGGGGTGGATAGCGCTTGGACCAGCGCTGTCAGGGTGCCCCAGATTAGCGTAGACAGGGGGATTCTCGTCAGTGTGATTTTTGTGGCCAACTAGGACATCTCAGGGCTGCTTGCTGGAAGCTCAATCCAGAGCTTAAGCCGCCTCCTCGTAGCTGTACTACTGCAATTGCTGAGGTACCACCATCTACTATTGTTGTTGCTGATACTCCTCCTTGGTAGAATGATATGGATGCTATCATTTCTCAATTGGATATACTTATGTCCGACTACTGCTACAGCCACCACTACAAGTATATCTCGTGTTTTTCATGCTTACGTCAATTCGTCTCCCCTTTGGATGCTGGACTCGGGTGCTAATAGTCATATGACAAGTGAAACCCATCATTTCACCACTTTTGATGAACAGTTATATACACAGGTTCAGCTAACAGATGGGACACATGTCGTTATTATTAGTAGGGGTACAGTTCCGCCTACCAGATGGATTTACATTACATTCAATTTTTCATGCGCCAATGCTGGCCAGAATCTATTATTTGTACTTCAGTTAGCTAGAGATTTTTACTGTGCAACTGTGTTCTTATCTAACTCGTGTTATTTGCAGAACCTCAGTACCAAGAGAATTATTATTAGGGGACATGAAAGAGATAAACTGTATTATCTAGGCAATCCACCTCCAGTTTCATCAGTTCCTTCACCTCAATCACCTGTACTTGCTTTGTCTTTATTTGTTCCTAGCTTGAATGCTATTATTTTACCTAGTACTTATTGTTATGATTTTTTATCATAAACTGTTCAGTTGTGGCATGACCATTTTGGGCATACAAATTTTAAATATTTATGTATGTTATTTCCTACTTTGAGCAATGCTTGTGTTGGTGGTAAACTCGATTGTGTTATATGTTCCCTATCAAAATATGTTTGGACTAGTTATATTCCTCGCATGCATCAGTCACCCAAACCATTTGACCTCATACACTCTAATATTTGGGGACCTTCTCCTGTTACTGTTCTATCAGGTATCTGATACTATGTGACATTTATAGATGACCATACCCGTTGTACTTGGTTCTACCTTTTGCATAGGAAGTCTGATGTACTCCCTGTCATCACTCAGATTCTCCATATGATTAAGACACAATTCGATGTCATTGTTCATGCTCTTCATTCGAATAATGCTAAAGAATATGTGTCTGACGTCTTAGTGTCTCACCTTTTTTTTCTTAGTATCCTTCAGTAGCTCACTTGTCTATATACTCCTGAGCAATTGGAGTTGTTAAAAGAAAAAATAGGAGTCTGATAGGGATGGTACGGTGGCTGCACATATTTAGTTTAGAATCGGTCTCCTACTCGCCATAAGCTTTATGATAAAGTGATTTGTTATATCTATGTGGGCTATTGTCATCAGTCTAAGGCGTATTGGTGTTATGATTCTATCAGGCAACGTATGTATCGCAGTCTAAATGTTACCTTTCTTGAGCATATTCCTTATTTTTCTTCCAGTCCTGTGTCTGCCTCTCTAGTTGATGATACTCCTTTTGATTTTTCGTTACCATAGGAGCTAGAGCCATTGGTCACTATCACTACAGATTCATCAGTCTCTTCTCCTCCAGAGCCACTCATCCCTGTCAGTACCGAGTCCCCAATCTCTCTTCCTTTGCAGGTTTATGTTCACCGCCCTCGCTCTAATTGGAAAGGCCTTCGATGTGAAGGACCTTAGATTTCTGCGATACTTTCTTGGAATTGAGATTGCCTATAGCAGTAGGGGTATTTTTTTTTTCTCAGAGAAAGTATGTTTTGGATCTTCTCTCAGACACTAGGATGTTGGGGTGCAAACTGGCATCATCACCCATGATTCCAAACCTGAAGCTTACTGTTGAAAGTGAGAAGTTGAAGGATCCGACTGTCTATCATAGGTTAGTATGTAGACTTATCTACCTAGTTAACACTAGGCCAAACATTTCATTCGCTGCCAGTCGAGTTAGTCAGTTCATGCACAGACTATGTCAGCCTCATCTTGATGCAGTTTATCATATTTTTCGGTACCTCAAGTCTTGTCCTAGACTTGAGTTGTTCTATTTATCAGGATCCAGACTAGTTCTCTAGCCTGTTATTCAGATTCATATTATAAGGGAGCGTGTGACGGTCGATCTACTGTGGGCTTCTATGCTTTTCGAGAGCTCATCTTATCTCTTGAAAGAGTAAGAAGTAGTTAGTTGTCTCTCACTCGTCAACAGAGGTAGAGTATCGAGCACTGACACTTAGTACATGTAAGATTCGTTGGCTGCGATCAATTTTTGGTGAGTTGGGATTTTCAGTAACTACTTCATCTACATTATATTATGATAATCGATCTGCTATTCAGCTCGCTTCTGACTCTGTATTACATGAGAGGACGAAACATATAGAAAACGATGTTCACTTTCTTCAGGAGAAGGTTAGCAGTGGTATTGTCACTCCATCACCAATGATCAGGTTACAGATATTTTTACCAAACCTGTCACTCTATCCATTCTCCAGGACTCCATTGTCAAGCTTGCCTTAGTTGACATTTTTGCGCCTAGCTTGATGGGGAGTGTTGGAGTTATAGCAGCCTAGTTTATCAGGATTCTTTTTCCCTTTTTTACTCTTATTATGACTTTTGTATTTTGCCTAGACCACAAAGATATTTAGGTCACTTTGTATATTATTTAGCTATATATACAGAACTCTATTCTTAGTTTGGTATCTTTTTTCACTCACATATATTTCAAGTAAATTATATTTGAAAGATGTTTTTAAGTACACAAAGCCCTAAGATGACCTATGTATCTCACACTATC